CCCCTTAGACATGGCTACTGTAATTGAAATTGGACACCATCTCTAGACCCATTTAGGGGTTTCTTAACATAGGGAAATTCCCGAAATCAGAGGTTTTGATACACAAATTCTCATCCACGGCTGGATGATAACGGGGGGTACCTCCATTTTCAGACACATATAATTTAGAATAACCATAGCTGCCATAGCTCTATAGTGATTATAGCCTCTGGTAATGTAACAGTTTGCTATTGAACTTGGCCCATAGAAATAGCAGATTTACCCATAAAAAATGGATAAACATGGTGGTTTTCCATACTTATGTAAACGTTTACCAGAGGGTATCCCCACTGGATGTAAACTTCGACTGGACACCTCACTGACCTTCCAGCTGCTGGATCCAATGCGCTGCGGAACTTTTTGAACCAACGGCTCTTCACCACCGAATGGTGCTGTACACGCCATCCCGAGCAATGCCCCGTTGACCGTGAAATGATATGAGTCAGTTGGGATCATCCTCCGATTTCTAAAGGAAAACAGGTTTTTTCAGCAATCAAAAACAACATGAATCAGCCTTTTTCCAGGGAGATTCAACGGGAAATTGAAGACATGATGAGGGCTGGGCTTACACTGGTTGAGGATTCGATGATAGGCTAGGTCGACCGGGCCACGCTCAAAAACTAAATTCCAGTATTGTACCAAGACATGGAGTGTGGGTCATCTGCGCTCCAAATATGGGGTACTCCAAAATACGATGACTCGAGACCAAACATGATAGCAAATCTAGTGAATCTAGTTCATCTGTGGTTTTGGGCTGCAGCAGCTTCAACAAAATGAGGGCTATGTTCCTGCGCCGTCACACTTGGCTGGATACCAGCGGGGTTCCCATAGCAGGTTTCTACAATGCGGTGAGTCTCCGGAAACACATCTGCGGAACAGTACAATCAGCAGCGACATGTTGGAGCAAATAGTTCATAGAGATAAGTGGACCAACCCCAAGTACAGAAAAGGAAAAGAACAGAAATTAACTTTTTAAACTCAGGATACATTGGATGACCAATCTCCTGTATATTTGTAGATGTGATTACGTTTAGTAAACACACCTATCACCTATGCGCATTAGTTGTTTCATCTCATGTCTCAGTGTGCGAGGCGCTGCGTGCATCTCATTCAGTCCTGAGTTTTTCGTGCAGCATCCCAAGTTGGGTCTCCGCAGAAACGAGTCCAACAATGTCCAACATGGCAACTGGGATGACCAAATAATAATTAATACCTGGGTATACTATTGTATAGTTATAAAATGATTGCTATATATCTTAACAAATACATAATTGGTTGTTATCACATCAGGTTCTTACAACTAACATGCCAGCATGCCAGTTTTAATGCTAGTGGTTGTTATAACTAATGGTTGTATGTGTGTATATATATATCTGGTTGGTGGTTGACCTACCCCTCTGAAAAATATGAGTTCGTCAGTTGGGATGATGAAATTGATGTTTTGACAAAGTTGAACGGGATCATTCTGGAAATGCGGGATTTTCCAGACCATGTTTGATTACGTTCCTCTTCTTAAAAAATCAATCATCATTTTTGTATGATTAGGTCTTCCCAATGCATCCCCATTGTTAAATGATTTCGATTGGCACCCAGTGTCACTACCGTATACCCTGAGGTAAACTTCAGTAGATGTGAACACATTTGGGAAAAATCCCTTTTGGAAAATGATCTATGTTCACAATGGATTTTCTATCTAAGTGTTAATTTCCTGCAAGGATATACACATATCTCAAGTGCAGAGAGGATTGTCATGGATGACAATGGGTGCAGAACCATCAAGAATCAATAGCTATTGTTTTGATGACTTGCTGCCAACCCAACCACAACCACAGGTAGGTTAAGCCCATTCTTGAGGGTCATTGCAACACATACTAATAAATAACGCCAAGAAAACACACCCATTGCGGCGCTGGCAATGTTTATGATTCGCTTTCCATGACCCTCGAAGGGTTCATTTTTCGGGGAAAGACCAATTCCAAATGTTCACCGGTCACGATGATGTTTTCTTGTAATCAATGTTATGTTGGAATACAATTAATGGTTTACGATGATATTTATGGTAATAGTGTGAACATTATTGGGAAAATTACCATGGTAATAATATTATTGGGAGAATAATATAGTGAAAACAAAATATGGGAAATCATATTCATATATTATTATTCGACCAATTTTTTGTTATGGCAATATATTTAACAATTTGTTTGGGAAAGGCCTATGGTGACATGGTGCCATGGTGTGGTGGAAACACGTGCTGCTTTTCCGGATCCACAAACCCACAAACCCACGATAAAACCTCACAAATTCCCAAGAACTCCCATGAAAATCCCCAAGAGATCCCGAGACTTCCACTATAAATCGCTATAAATCACTATAAATCCACTATAAATCACTATAAATCCACTATAAATCACTATAAATCCACTATAAATCACTATAAATCCACTATAAATCACTATAAATCCACTATAAATCACTATAAATCTTAGAAATTCACTATAAATCTCCAGAAAAATCCTCCTTCCATCCGAGAACTTCCAGTTTTTTTCCGCCAAAAATCCTGCGTCGTTTTGAAGCGCCGAAGCCGAAGATGGAAGCCAGAGTAGAAACTCTACTGGGCCTCGGCCGCTTTGTTTTATTCATGGGGGTTTCATGTATGTATGTATGTATGTATGTATGTGTGTATGTGTGTATGTGTGTATGTGTGTATGTATGTATGTATGTATGTATGAATGTGTGTGTGTATGTATGTATGTATGTATATATACATATACATACATTCACATATACATCTATATATATATACATGTTATGTTTTATGCCTTGTATATTTTTGAAATTTGGGGTTCTCGTGCGCTCTTGATGAGGTGTTTATTCAAATTTGATGGGACTCATGCGAGTATTGAATGGGATTTTGGTGGGATTGATTACTGGATTCTTCGGGGATTTTGATGAGTGCTTCTTCGGCTTTAATGCGTTTATTTCTTTCGGATTTTGAAGGGATGTTTATGGGGTTACTTCTGGATTACGTGAAGCTTTGATGGGAATTGGATATGTATGCAGCTGCAATATGTATATAATGAATATGCTTTTTCTTACATTGGATCTTGATGGGATTAGCCTGATTAGCCTCTCACGTAGAAACTTAGTAGCCAATGATTCTTACTTTCCCACAGGTTGGTCTATTTCTACAGTTTCGTTCATCGCCAAGGAACGGTTTGTCGCTCAAAGGAACATGGGATGATTTCCATACCAAACACTTCTGCCCCATTTGAGCAGACTTCATTTCGCCGGTTCGTTGTCCCTTTCTTCATAGGATGTCCCCTAATGGATGATTGTCCCAGATCATAGAACGTTAAACATGTCTCAACATGTTTCATGATATCCATAATAGAATTATCCAAAATTATCCATAATTCTCATTATTAGTTATTAAATATCCATATAATATTTAAAATATGTTAGAAATATCTCATAGAATATCCCCCGTTGATCATCCAGGAACACTCGGTCCCTCAAGGCCGGTGATGTCGCAGGCTGATGCAGTTGAACGAAGGCCCGTTTCGAAGGCGGTTGAACGTCGGGGGAAACAGCTATTCTTTTTCAAGATGGTCTCAAATCTTGAGCCAATCGATTGCTCAAGATTGGTTGCTTGAACTCTTTTGAAATTGGTTTTGCTGAAATCATCTTGGCAAAGTGCACACAAGTAAACTATAAGTCACACACCCGTAAATCAGCGATTTTGGGAACTATAGCGCCCGCCAAAAAGATTCAGAAAAGAATCAATTTAAGAGCTTCTGAGCCTTGTCCAGCGATTTGGTCTCTCTCTCTCTCTATGCAATTTCTATGAATATAAACCACCCAGAGCTAAACAATTTTTGGTGACTTGTAGCTACTGGACCTTGCCAACTATAAATATCAATGAGACATATTAATATGTACATAATTCAATAGGAAAACCTTACTTATAAACTGTACTATCAGTTAGCATTGACCTTCAGTAGGCGTAACTGTAACTAGACAAATCACATGATAATATGTATATTATACATATTGTATAAATCCCTTACCAAATATATATCATGATCTAAGCTGAGCTTGTCCAGTGACGAACATCACATAATCAGCTGCAGGTGTCCGGACGAATCCGGAATTTTCAAGCTCTCCTGAACAGATTCCGAGTGATCAAATGGGAAATTGCTGGATTCAATGGCCATTGGAGATTTGAAATTTCAGGCAAAAATGGCCATTTCAGGAACCTCCCCTAAAATGGCCATAAATAGCTGGAACGATTTTTTTTTGGGGTACCTAATTTCAGCTATATAAGGCTTATGTAAGGGAATATGCCTTCAACATATGGCCAACAACATTGTACAGTAGCTCCAGTTTAGGTACCTGAAATGGCCATTGATACTATCGGTGCTTCCTCAGTCTGTTCGCCGAGTTGATTTTTTGGTAATTACAACAGTGGTCAGATGGGGTTTTAACGAACTTATCATTATAGGGGGCACCACCTTCTTGGAAGATTATACAAGATATTTATGGGATAGCTATGGGATGATGATGAAATCATAGGATTATATGGGAGAATATGGACGATTCTGTGGAAAAATCCTGCAATCATCATGGTGGAACTATGGGAAAATTGTAGTAAAACCAGGCGCCTCAACCAATGATTTGCATGGCTCAGAATCTATGATACCATAGGGATGTAATATAAAAATGTGCTATTTTGATGTGAAACTTAGGTACTGTGGGGTGCTTACCAACCATAAGCATACTGTAATGCGACAGCCTTTTTGAAGCCGAAAGAGCGGCCTGTAGATGCAATGTGAGACCTGTTGAATACAAGGCACATATGGATGAATGTGCTTCAAGTCTGCATGATCTAATGTCTTTACACTGAACCTGAATTCTTCGCACTCCTCCTTGGCGTAGCAATGGTTTTAATTGCTAGGCCACTACTCGTTCAGTGTGATTGATCCTACTCTGCTATACAGTCGGTGCTGATTCATTTGATCATTGCACCATGAAACCAATCTCTCATTCTCATCTCGAATTGCTCGTGCCTTTCGTAGGCTGAAGTCCCTGATCCATTGCAAAGCAGAAAGTTGAGCTCTGTCCTGTGATGCTGAGAAATCGTAGCGGGGCCACTCGATGTACTCGTCCCGCATGAATTCGCTCACCACAGTGTCCTTCTCGCTAGGAACTGGAGATTCATCTCCTGTAGGCTCACTTTCTTCTCCTTCGTCATTGGGCTCGTCTCCTTCATAGTAAAGTCCGACACCAGGTTCACCATGATGTAGACTCATCCATTCGTCTGGATCAGAGCACTCGCTGAGAGTTGAGTTCAAGTAACGCTGACGGCGTACTTCTTGGGGTTCACTCGGCCAATCTTCTGGATTCTCTGACTCCATCCTCCTGTTGTACTCCTCCTGGGACATGTTCTCAGGAGCATTGTCATCTCCTGCATTTTCATCTTCTGCTGGATCTCTGTCTCGAGATTGGCTGGCATCATATCGAGGACCTCGTGGTTCTCTTTCAGGAGTTTCATGTCTCCTCCTGCGTCTTGTGCGAACTGCTCGGCGTAGATGTCGAAGTCCGCGTCGGCAAACTCGATCATCTTCAACACGATTTCCACGTTCGATGTAATGCCAGTTGTCCCAGTCTTGTTCTGTAATGGCCTGGTTCAAGTCCACGTAGCCGCCAAGTCGAATCAAAGCCACATGCATTGCAGTTACATGAATGTGCTGCATTGCTGACTCATTGCTAAGATCATCTTGTCGATCTTTCATCTGATCTTGTCGTACTTGTAGTTCTCCACGAAGTTGTCGAAGTTCACGACGTAGTCCAATGTAGGCCTTGTACACCACAAAGAAACCTGCCAGCACCGCCATGAAGAACAGGATGAAGAACATCTCAAAGGAAAACCAAATCTTCGCTTCCACGGGTGTGATGGGTTCAAGGTCCATTCGAAATGGAAGAAGTTCTCCGTGTGCCTGCTCAAGGCCGCCAATCACCACCATCGCTTGTAAAAGCTTTGCCACCCGCATGATTTTCGCCTTGCTGATGTTGTTTTCTTTCACCTGTGTTGCTTCAGCTTCTCCAATGGGGATGCCGTCCTTGTTGTAGAGGTTACACCAAAACATCAAAGCATAGAGTCGATGGCGTCCAAGAGGCTTTGTACCAATGTCACCAATGTTCAGGGCAGTGCTGATCTGCTTGACCTCCAGCACCTTTGCACTCGTTTGATCTTGTATCCAAAGTAGTTTCCCTGAAACATGGCGTAGACGTCCGCTTCCTCTTTTGTTTGAAATCTGCCGGGTTGCAGAGTTGTCGATCAGGCATACATGTTGGACCTTCACATCCATCAGGAACTCGATGCAAACTCGTAGAGCTATTCCATCAACTGCTCCTCCAACAAGTCCATGAAGTTCTGCTTCAGCAGATGAAAGGCTAACAACCTTCTGACCTCTGCTGCTGTGGCACAGGATGATCCCGTTGAGGCAATGAACACTGCTGCTTGTACTCCGCCGTGTCATCCTTTCTCCAGACCAGTCAGAGTCTGTGAAGCTTTCCAAAACCCATTTTGAGTCATAGTGGTGGTGGATGCCCTTGCCATAGCTGGGAAGCTCCAAGTGGTTGTAGTTGCCCACAGTCGATTTGAGGTATCCAATCAGCTTCTTCATGACCTGCAAATGACCATAGGTTGGGCTGCTCATGCCGCTTGCCAACTGCTTGATGACATAGCCCAGCTCGATGCGCTCCTGTGAGAGATAGATTCCACTCCCCACCAAAGAACGAAAAAGCGAGGCTTCGTCACCAGGTAGCAGCATGGAGTTCGAAATCTCTTGTGCTTCATCTCCACATGGAACTTGCTGTTGTTTCACCTGGCCGTACTTCTCCTCAAACGCCTTGATCATCGTCTCAGCGTAGTGACCAGGAATGACATCCATCCCATCTTCTGTCAACTTGTAAGTCCTTTTCAAGAACTCAAACTCATCTCCAACATACTGAGCAATCTTGTGCGAGATGACAAACTCAGCCTTCAGCTCGCTGATCAGCTTCTGGATCTCGTCCTTGAAGCCACAAACCATCATGTCATCCACATGCAAAAGGATAAAAAGTCTGTCACCACGTTTTCCCAGGCATGGGTTCTCCTTCGAAAACTTGATGCCTTTCTTTTCCAAAAACGTAGCAATGTATTCATACCACGCTTTTGCAGCCATGCGCTGCCCAGGAAGGTTTTTCAGCACTTTGAACTTGCCATTCTTGGTGCCGATCTGAACTGGTTGTTCTTGGTTGGCCATGAGAAATGCATCCTTCACGTCCAGCGACCCAATCTGCAGCTGATCTCTGTCAACTCCATCCACTCCAAGCATCATGAGGTATGCTGCAGGTAGAAGACGTAGGATCTGTCCACCTGAAGCAGGTGAGTGAACATCATCTCGTCTCTGATGTGCATATTCTCGTGCAACCAAACGTGCTCTCCTCATCCAACGTCGTTTTGTCTCACCTGTCTGAGGGTTCTTCCATTCTTTGATTCTCCAGTCATACACCATCCTTGTCGTAAGTGAACTCAGACCAGAGTCCTCAGCAGTGAGCACCTTGATCACTCCCATGTCTTGGAGTCGTTGAAGTTCAACCATATCTGCAAGACGATCAACTTCAGGATCTGGATCTTGAGGAACTCGTGTGAGAGCATCATCTGACCAAAGCTTTTCCATCGCATTCACATCCATGGCAACCTTCTCATCCACCTCCATGTCCTCGGACTCAAAGGCGTTGACAAAGTCCTGGTCGATGACATTGTCCAGGTGATAGAACTGATCCTCACCAATGTTCACTTCCACCAATCTTCGCTCCACCATTTCAATTCTTCTTGCAACATTCTCCTCATGTCGTGTTCTCTTTGTTGAAGGCTCCTCCTCACCAAGTTCTCCACGTCCAACATCAGGTTGTTTCATCGAAGCCGTTCTTGGTGAAGAGGGTTGTGCAAGAAGTGGCGCATTGATTGGTTGAGAGGGCACTGAAGGTAGTGCTTGGCCTTCTTGTCCAGGAGGTTGTGGTTCATCAGGTGGATCTTCAACTCGTACTGCAACTCCAGGAGGAACTTGTTCTGGTAGAGCATCCAAAGCTTCTTGAACTTCACGTTGAGCTTCAAGACGACCTTCGCGAGATCTGGCATATTCCAAAACAGCTCGTGCTTCTTCATCTGCAAACCTTCTTTCAACTTCACTCATCTTGGGCAAAAGTCTGCCTTCTTGTCGTTGAGGAACAACTTTCCTTTTTGTTGGCACGATCCTTCCACCAAAGTTGGTCTGGTAGACATAGCTGTGTGTTTGGAGTCCCATGTAGTAAGCCAGAAAACGGTTCCAAGGTTGATCAACTCTTCGAATGCTTCGGCTAAGCATCACATCAACACCATCACCGATGATCCATGCGTCTTGAGCTTCCGTCTTTCCAAGCATCAAACCAACTCGCCATTTGGCATCAGCTTTTCCACGACCCTTGCAGTAGGCATAGACCGGCTCAGCAAAGCAAGCTGTCTTTCCTCCATATCTTTTTCCATGAGTCACTTCATAGGCAGTCAGTGACTTCCAAACCTGAAAACGGTTTAGACACCATGCAGCATGCCGTCCAGCCCAGCTCCACAAAGCATGTTCACACGGAAAAACAAGTCCAGTGCGCTCGCAAACATCTTCAACAAGGGTACATGCCAATTGTCGAATCCTTTGAATGCTATTTTCCACCAGGGCATTTCCAGCTGAGTCCTTCACCTTCGTGGTGTAGATCCTTGTTTTCAAACCAAGAGCATGTCGTGAGGTGATGATTGTTCTGAGGATCTGCCGAATTGTGGGTTCGTTGTCACCGTAAAAACCAACTTCAGCATATCCCAAACTCTGGACAAAGCTAAGCACCTCGTGAGTCATGTAGTTGATCTGGCCCTTGGACTGGATGGGGATCACTCCAAGGTAGCCCGTGTGGCTGTCAGTGAGCACAAGCCATAGAGCTCCCTTATCTTCAGCTGCTCCTTCTGGGTTTTCTGCTAGCCCATCCTTCTTCTTGGTGACTGCAAAGTCCATGGAAGCCACTGGCACTGGAGTGTCATGAGCTTCACCAGTGCGACGATGTTGATCTGGTCTGGCACGATGCTTCAGGCATGACGAGCACCAAGGAGCATATGGTGTGTGGGTGAGAGCATGAAGTTCACGTTCATCAGGAACCTTTGCAAGAGTTTGAGCATTGGGATGTCGTTCAACCACTCCTTCTGCTTGAGCTACAGCAGCTGTTGCAGCCAAAAGTTCAAGTGTCTTCTGGTGTTGGCACAAACGCCTGTAACACTTGGCTTTTGACCCAGTTTTGCTCACACCATAGAACCCACATGCAGCTCTCAAAGTTGCCAAAGTGCTCGAAGCTGAAAGCACCTGCACATTCACTTCGATCTCAGCAGGGATAACCTCTCCGACCACGATGTGACCTTCTTGAGGAACTTGAGGTTGTAGTTGACCTCGATGTAGATCTTGTCCACCAGCATCCAAGGGAGGTTCTCCATGTTGATCATCACCAGCTTGTTCTCGATGTCCAGGTTGTAGTTGAGCTTCAGCAACTTCACGCTGTTCCAACTCCTCGTCCATGGGGATGTCGTAGTAGGGCTGAATCTCGCCTTCCAGCAATTCCAGTTCTTCTCGATCAGCTCCACCTTCAACTTGAAAACCCATGTTCTCCACATCCTCAAAGCCATCTGTCAAGAAGGTAACAACTGTTGTTCGTCCAGCTGTCTCATCGATGTAGAGCTCTGGATCCAGCATCTCAGAAACCTTCTCGCAGAACTCCACCATGATCCAAGTCTGGTCCTTCTTGATGAGCGTAGTTCGAAACCATTCGATGTTGTAGTCCAAGTTGGGGATGAAGAGCGGGTTCTGGTACTTGGAGCTGAGATGGATTCCAACCCATCGTTCACCTTCTTTGCTCCATCCAAAGGCATGGTCCACATAGGCTTGAAGACCTGGGGTAAGGTCAGCTTTCAAAGCTCGTACTGTTGTGGGCACAGCACTGACATTTCTCACATGCCCTTTAACCACCAAACTGTGGTTTTGAAACTCCAGAGGTACTTCAAAGTTCCCATTTCGCAAGCACCTTGTTTCAGCGCAGATACTCCAACCTGCATCCATCAAGCGACCATAGCTCAGAATTGGTTGGCTGATCTCGTTGGAGAAGATCACATTGTCGCGCAGCTCGATTTCGATGCCGTTCACATCCTCCAAGAGCACAGAAACTGATCGTTGGCCCAAAACAGGAATCTTTCTGCCTTGAGCATCCTGAAGAGAAACTTCTTGGCCATGATGGTCAGTTCCACAGTGCACCATCGACGCAGGAAAAACTGGAGCATCAGCACCTGAGTCAATGATGATGCTGACTTCACTTCCATCCACCTCGTACTTTTCCACCTTGTTGTCCATGACTGTTGCACTCCTCAAAGAAACTGGCTCCTCCAGCTCCTCATCGATGTAGAAGAACTTCACCATACGCACGTAGTTCCAGCTTGAAGACGAAGAGCTCCTCAGATCAAAGACCACGGGAGATTCACTCGCTTCACCATCACCAGGGCAAACTGAAACTCTTTTCACTGCAAGTCCACCACCTGCCTGTGATGCAGATGGCCCTACACTCTCTTGAACTGAGGCATTTGTAACCACAGTTGCTGATGGGTCTGCATTGCCAACTTGCCGAACTCGCCAGCAGTCTTTCGCTTGAAGACCAGGGCGTCCACAGTTGAAACAAAGCCCTGACTCCTTTGTCTTTCCCTTTCCTTTGGTCTTGTCACTCTGGCCTTTTTGATCTCCTTTTCCATTCCCTTTCGAAGACGACGTCCATGAAGTAGCCGAGGAAGAAGTCCATGAGGCATGGTTCTGGTTCTTGCCCTTGCCCTTCTGCTCCTTTCCCTTCGACTTGCCCTTGACGTCCTTGCCTTTTCCTTTTGACTTGCCACTATTCTTTCCACCTTTGACCCGATCCACCTCCATAGGCATTACACCAGTAGAGTCTTGAAGAGGTTGTAGAGGAAAGGAATTGATGGCTCCATCTGTCCACTTCGTTGTCGCTGTGTCATAGGCCTGAATGACTTCACGAATCTTTGCATAGCTCGAAGACTCGTTCAAAGAAAGGTTCAAATGAATCTTCAAAGGCCCTGAAATGCACTTGAGCAGGACCGCAGCTTTCATCTCATCAGTGAGTTTTCCACCCATCTTTTCAAACTGGTTGAAGTGCTCCTCCATTCTAACCACCTGAGCCATGACACTGCCCTTCATGTTGAAGGCAGGGTAACTCATCAAACTTTGCAACATGGCCATGGTTCGATTCCTTGCACGAGGTTGACAGTTTTGTAGAAGCTGTCGAAGTGCCTCCATTCCATTGCTTTTCTCGATCCCCCTGACCAAACTCAACAAGCGTCCCTGCAAGAGCGTGCTGAGCAAGGAGTACATGAAGCGTGCTCTGTGTTGTTCATCTGAATCAAGTAGATCCCAGTCCACCTCCTCGGTGGCGCGCTCCACATAGGCTATGTCATCCTCATATTTTCCATCAACCACCAAGAGATACTGCTTGAAAGCCCAGTACCAGTCTCTCCATTGGCTGACTTCTTGATCCCTATCACTTGGTGCAAAAGTTGGTGGTCGAGGAATGAGGCGGTAGAGATCCTTTTTGCGCTCTCCACTCGAAGTTGCCTGTGCTGCTCTTGCTGCTTCTGCTGCCACTGAAGCTGCATTGGCTACAACTCGAGCTATCTCAGTCATCTCTGCCAGACCTGTCGCTTGGGGAACTCCAGCAGCTTGAAAAACTCCTTGGGGTAGATCTCCAGGTTGTCCTTGTCCATGAGGTGACCCATAGGGCGACCCATGAGGTGATTGCGCAGGTTGATCTGTTGCCATCTTTGGGCTTTGTCACGTAGTGAGCAAAGTCCTGGATCGAATTGTAGAGGTTCAGCAAAACGTCCAAGGTGAGCAGGATGTAGGTGCTAAGCAAATGACCTTGAGGTAGCCACTGCACTGATTGCGAGATCCTGCAACACTAGTTTGAAGCCTTCTCCTTGAAGTTCACCGTCGTATGGCTTCAAGTCGCTTTGCCCCCCTAATGGGGCTCTGCTGCCATGCGACAGCCTTTTTGAAGCCGAAAGAGCGGCCTGTAGATGCAATGTGAGACCTGTTGAATACAAGGCACAAATGGATGAATGTGCTTCAAGTCTGCATGATCTAATGTCTTTACACTGAACCTGAATTCTTCGCATGTAATCATTTGCCATATCGTGACTGATCACCCTTAGAAATCACACTTATTCAAGCGGAATCGGAATGCCATTTGGGGATACAGCAGTTACCTACAATCACCATCATTCCAGCGACGTCGCCGTGAGAATTGGATGAATTGAATCCAGATCTACGTTCCTCATAGTCATACTGTTGATGGTTGCGAAATTTGCGCCAGTTGGGAGCTATGAAAGGTCCTATGAAACACTGTAAATTTCATGGGATTATAATGGGAAAAGCCATTTACCAACTGGTGCTTCGGATTTCGCAACCATCCACAGTATCACTTACAGTATGTACTAGTTATATTTCCTAGTTTTCATGGTTCATATCCTCATTTACCACCATTATTGTGACCCATTGGGATAAAGTATCCAGATGACGTTCCTTTCCAATCCTTATCTCCGAAGAAGACTTCGAAAACGGAACCCGTCTGAAACAGAACGGTGGGTGAGCTGTCCCCCTTTCACTATATGAGTCATTCAGCATCAGCATCATCATTCCACTTTGAGGGATGGAAAGAAGAATTGGGGAGATTTGAAACTACCAAAAAGTAAAAAAAAACATCAGACTGGTGTGAAGATTGACTAGTCATGAACATACTTGGTCGAAAAAACACCAAATGATGTTCAACAATATACTCATGATATCCCCAAAATATACCCATTATATCCCAAGATTGGCTATGATTCTTTCAATCTGACCCTCCCCATCCTTGGACAGTGTCACGCCACCGACGCCAGAGAGCAGCTGTGGCACCTGCCGCATCGATGCTGACGGTGTGTTTTTGATGAGATGTACCCTACGCAGTAAACTAACATAGCTATTGAACATGGCCCATTTATAGATTATATACCTATTGAAATGGTGATTTTCCATAGCTATGTTAGTTTACCAGAGGGCAGGCCGGTATAAAATTGGTCAGTTTTATAGGACAATGCTGTCAGTTATACCGTGTAAAAATGGCAATTTCGGAGGACAATCGTGAATCAATTGCATCGGAAAATCCCCGAACTTAATGGAGGTTTGTAGCTGGGAAACATCATCTGTAAATGGTTCTTACTGGTGGATTTTCCGGCAAGTGATGACACCGGAGGGTAAATCCGTGAGATATTGTGGATGGTTGCGAAATCCTGCATCACCAACCGGATGGTTGAGGTTGAAACCCCCAAAAAAATAATGGGATGTTTGCCACCTATTAACTGGTGCAGGATTTCGCAACCATCCACCGTATCATGATGAATTTAGGAGGACAATCATGGCCAAATCTGGCCATTTGGGTATCAAAACAACCACGGTTTTACCCCGGGTAAACCTGCAAATAACTGGTACATATATACGTTCATCCCCCCAATCATGGTATCATTGGCTTTAATGCATATATAGTTATATAGTCAAAAATCCGAAAAAATCCCAGAAAAAACCCATAAAAACCTACATTTTCCCCCATGGTTTTCCCCTTTTCCCGAAGTCACCGGGGTTACCGGCGCGCCTCCTTTTCCAAGACCTCGTCCAAGCGATGGACCTCCGCTAGGTCCAAGGTGGGCAGCCGCAAGAGGCCTTGGCGTAGTGGTTATAGTGGGTTTATGGTTAGTATTATAGTGGATAATGGTACCATACTATGGTTGATTATAGTTATGGTTATTATATGTTAATATGGTATTACGAGTTATTTTTTTTTATTATATGCTAATATGGCTAATAATTAGTGTTACTTATTAAATAACCATATTGATAACTAGTATTATCATATTATGGCCAATTATAATAAATAGTTATTATCATTATCATTATTATTTATAGTGGTTATACCATGTGAACTATCTAAAACCAGAAGTGATAATGGATTACTGCCAGTTATGTAAAAGTTCTACAATATTTTAGCGGTTTCTATGGATAATATTGATATCGATGGATATAGTGGTTGTAATAGTGGAACATGATAGTAATGGATACTATAACTTTTGATAACAAGTATATTATGGATAATTATAGTGGTTATACTAGCGAGTTATTTATACATACAATGGTATCCATGATGATTAAAGTATGGATTACTAGTAGCTACAATCAGCTATTACAATATAGATACAACTACTTGCAAGAGTGGATTGTAGTCATAGATAATTCTGGATTACTATATAGATGTGGATACTATAACTATAGTTTTATGGATAGTTATCATGATCCATAATTATGGATAATAAATTGTGACATATCGTGATTTCTACTATTATGATTGTGGTTACTATTGTAGCAATGACTCATCCATGATAATAATCCCAAATAACAATCCAATATATTAGTTATAGTAAGGAATGGGCACGAGCTTTAGCTTTTGCCGCACAGTCAACAATGCTGTCGTTCCAATTGGTACTGCGTGCCCCAAGTTTCATGCCCTTTTCTGATTCCCCCCCTCAATGCTTACTTTCATGGACCACATGTAGATTGGGCTGTGCCCTCACTTGTTACTATGTTTCATTTACAAAACACATTTATTGAAGCAATTCCTACTTGAAGCCATGGATATTAAGCAGCCAGAATCTCAAGAATCTCAAGAGCTACCTGAAGCTTCTCCACCTCACCCTCCTCAACCCACACCGACTACATCACCTACTACCACTGAGACCCTCACTGCAGAAGAACTTGAACTTATCAGGCAACATCGAGCTACTACCAGAGAGTCTTCTTCTGCAAAAAAAACCAGAACAGACCAAGCATGGGAAGAGTTTCTCACCACACTATCAGCTAAGGATGTAGAGCGCTCAGACTTGGACTTTGGACTCCAGCAGGAACTTCGATCTTCACCACAAGCCAGAGCAGACTTCCTTGCCTTCAACCTCATCTCTCCAGAAGCACTTCACTTCGACAATGACAAGGCAAACTCCAGAAGATTGACCTCATCAAGAAGCGACCTTTCACTGACCTTCAACAGGTCGCAGCTCCAACACTTGAGCATCCTCGAGCAGTACAACACTCCCATTCAGATCGACACCAGGGATACCAGATTGAAGACATTGGAATCCACGATTGACAACGAAGCACTCCTACTTCGAGGACTACCGGCTACAAGATTTACAATGAACAACCTCGACTGGAATATCCTTCCACATGAAGAACAAGGACCCAGAGTAGCACTTGGACTTTCCATAACTATTCAGCAGCTCTTCCATCACTACCAGATCGACACAGGTCTCACCACAGATGTACATCGATGCAACAATCTCATTGTACAAAGGCCATGCCCCCTTTGTGACTACCACCTCCACTTCAGCAAGAACGAGAAGAACTCTTACCAGCAGATCCCAGGTTCTTCATTTGAGTTGACCAGTATCCTCCAGTTCGACGACATAGTGGATGAGCTTACCAACTTCATCAACAACTCATATCTCTTCCAGGACATCTTTCTTGGCATGGACCCCTGCACCAACAATGGGCTGACGCACCTGAGTTCAGTTTGCACCTGTTCACCGATGTAGCCTACTGGCAATTTGCTCATGTTTTTCAGCGTAGGCCTAAGGATAAATCACAGCTTCAGATCCCCAATAGGGGCCAAAGGCAGTACCACTCCTTTACCGGACACAGTCCCATTTTACTCCATGAGCAGCTAAAGCTGGCAGGGCCCGCCAGAGGCTTGCCGGGAGACCACGGTGATTCTAAAAGATCATTCTTTTCCTTCCAGCACAATTTGCCCCCTCAAAGTCAGACTTGTGGTCACGAACCCTGCCGTGCCTCGCGGAACCGTCCACATCAGAATCTTAGATCCGAAATAGCTCCTAGTCGTAGACTTCAAACTATTTTACTCCATCGACAAAATCGCCGTGGTTATCGTGACTTATTTTTCTCGACGCCCTCGATGGATGGGTCCCACCTTGCCCATTCCATCCGGTTCCGCGTATAAGGTGCAAGGTAGCAGCGTTTCCCAAAAGAGCCATTATCCTCTACTTTTTCTTATGCACTTCTTCTCGCCTGAAATTGAAGTAGTCAACCACTTTTGGGTGCGCTGCTGCGGACGTGTGGCTCAATCGGAGCTACATAGCGCTTCGGAAAAGAAACATGTTCTAATAATGATACAGTGTTTGTGATTACTAGTAATTATTGTGTTTGTACTTTTGGTTAATTTAGTAGTTATTAGTAATTATAGTTCATTTTTTAAAATAAATAAATAAATATATATATATATATATCTATATCTATATATATATTCTAAAGGCTGTATTACTTTTGTCTCTAATTTCCATTATATGTTATTACTATAGTAATATGTATAATATTATATTTACTATTGTAGCAGCGAATAAACAACAATAATCATCCACAATCAGAATCCATAAGAATTCATATTACTCAATGAGGTATCATCCGTACCCGGGGACTCTAATTACTGGTACCCTCTGGGAACTTGAATCAATTCGGAATAGCCAAAAAAAATGTTTTTTTTTTCCAGCTTGGGTACTTACAGGATGATCCCACGTGGGTACTCCCATTAATCAAACTTGGTGAACTATGGTTCCAAGTAAAATGATCAGGGTCTCTAATTACTGCTACCAATCTTTTAGGCCCCCAAAGAATAGCTAAGTTGACGCGAACAGCTTGGTTAAGGTCTTGGTTTATGGGGGATTCAAGTATCCTTGGGTTTTTCTCAGCGACTTATAACTGGGTTACCCTCTGGTAATCAAACATGGCTGGCTGGGAAATCCCCTATAAATGGACTTTTTTTGGGAACTTAATGCGTAGATGGTGGTGGATTTTCCATTGCTACGTTTGATTCTGGAGGGTAGTAGTAACAGGGGCTCTGATTACTGGCAGGTCCTGGATTATGACTGGACTATCAACGTTTAGCAACCAACAATTAGTGGTGATTGCATGTGATTGCATCATTACTGGCTGGTTGGTGGTATACCTACCCCTCTTAAAAATATGAGTAAGTCAGTTGGGATGATGACTGAATGGAAAGTGATAAAGTTCCATGGTTCCAAACCACCAGCCAGCTGGGGGCTCTACCAGATCCACCTTTTTCGACTTCATCTGCCTCCATTCTCACCACGTCTCCGGCGAGTCCACCGACAGAGATGGGGCACAAGCTGTCCGCACTTTGCCAAAAACGGGCATGGTGGAAGCCTCAGACCTTCTCCATTTCCATATGTGAATGAATGTGAATGATGTAAATGAAAACACAATATGATCAGAGCTTGTGTCCGATCCTCGTTCCCGACTGCCCTGTTCAGACACTTGATGATGTACGCTGGCGGGTTGTGGATCCGTTTGTTGTCGATTTGTTGCCTGTCAAACAGGAATTTACTGCACAAGTTGTCACAAAACATCACAGAACATCAAATGGAATGCCTTGCAGACACATTTGGCTTGGCCAAGCAACAGGACTTCGGCTGCTTTCCCAGGGTCCACCTTCCACAGGAGGTAGATTGCATCAAATGATGTGTCAGTAGTGCTTCAAGCTTGTGAATAAGATACCCGTCTCATCCACAGTCAGTGGATTGTCCCAAGTCTGTCGTTGTCGCGTTGTCGTGGCGGTGGCTGGCCACTTCAACTGTAGCTAACCCCTGGCCACTCGTGGACCATGTGGGGGGATCAAGGTCTGCCTAATGTCCTCAATTCAAAATATTCTTAGGTTATTCTTAGGTTATTCTGATCTATATCTTGATTATCATGATCATTATCCCATATTACCATATATTCTTACCACTATCCGATATTAGAGTATTCCATATCCCAAGGGCTTGGGGGCCCTTGGCCTCTGGGTTCCATGCCAACCGAGGAAAGAAGGGATTTCTGTCATCTATGATAGGTTTCTGTTGGTTTATAACTAATATCATGGGTTTCTATATGGTGGATATATCTATTGAGTTATACACCAACAAGCCATGGGGACCCCGGCCCCTTCCTCTCGTTTTCCCACGGCCCATCTTGATAGACGCCAAGTTCGGCTGGGGATGATTCCTCCAATCCATTCTTTACATGTCAGCATCATTCCTATGGTCAAGAATCAAAACATATCAACCTTAGGCTAAGCCAGGAACTAGATGTGGAAAACCCATGGAAAACCCATGTTTTTGTGGTAGGAACATCATCCAGACCGGGTAACACCAATCAACCATTATCCCATAAGGTGGTGTGTCCCCAGTGAAATGTTTCTTGGTAAATCTCATGAAGCGCATCAACATAATCGTCAGAAACCTTAGTTATACAATATAGTTAATATAATTAATACAATACATATACCTGGTTGGCGGTTTAAACCATCTTGAAAAATGTCAGTCAATGGGAAGGATTATCCCATATACTATGGAAAATAAAAAATATTCCAAACCACCAACCAGATACTTAATATAGTTGCAAGCCAACTTCTATTATTCCACTATTTGTTTCTGGGATAACTCTTAAACAGTTTGCCGCGTGCCAAAATCCACGGGATTCCCCGCCGTCAAAGGCCATCAGCTTCCCTCGGAGAACCTGCTTTCGCTTGGGGGATGTGTCGTTGCTTTCATCGGATCATCAAACGAGTTGGTCTGAAAATAGGCTACTCCAAAAGTCAAATGGTTGTATAATAATAATAATCATTTTCCCCATTTTTAACCATCATTTGAGTTTCAAACATTGATTGACATAAATTGCAAGCAATTCTCAGAGCGTCATGTTGGAGCATTCCTTGGATTCAAATTCAATATCTTGGTACGCCTGGAAGGTTCATCACCACTGAGAAGTACACATTGGTCAAGTTAGGTCGTCTAGTTACCTGGAGTCTCTATCTGGTTGGTGGAGATAGGCCAATCTGCTTAGACATCCTAACCAGTTGGTACTTTGGTAAAACATATGATGTGGACTCAGAGCCCCAAAAAGAGAGATCCCCAAGTAACAACATCACATGTTCTTCTTTCCAAGTTTGGACAATACGATCACTCAAAAAAATCGCTTTTCCAACGACTCGTGGCCTTTTTTGAGGCGCTCAGCTCGGCCGCCCAGGCCTCTAATTTCGGCATATCACCGATGGACAAGTTGTGCACTCGTTGTGCCTCGGTGGGCGGAGCAATCCCCTTGTGGCCTGGAGTCCTCGGAGCCAAAACATCCCTGGAAATCTACTGACGGCGAGCAAACTTTGGGGGTGGGTTGCCCATTTTTACTTGGATCCATTCACATTTTTGTTGGACCAATTCCCCCTCGATTTGGATATGGATCGACTGCATGAGTAATTGGTTTTTCGTCCTATTTAGGACAAAACAACTGCCCCCGTACCCATTTTGGATGGAAACTCTTGCCCATTTCGTTGCTTCCTTGGATGGAAATTCTTGTTCTCAGATTGGCCTCATGACCTTCCCACATCACTCGGCCTCGCATAGCAAAGTTTCGAGATTTGAACCTGAGTGGGGGCAGCCGTTGTCCCCTTTTTTGGGTAGCCGTTGTGCAAACGGGGTATGGTTTATGGTATTGAGTTATGCACAGTATACAGTAGTACAATAGTATATATGTAAATATCTATGTGCGATGGATGATTCCTCTCATCCGAAGCATCATTTACATTCATGTGGTGTAGAGCTCTTCGTTATAGTTTACCTACACATATCCTATATATATTAACTTTTTGTGTCGACACTGGCATAAATGTTGGATATGTTGATTGATCATGCAGTAAAGTCCCTACTAGGGTTGTAGCTCTGGATCACATCTGTCACCTACCTGACATTTCACAGCAACACAGCGGCCTTAGCAATGCGATGGCATACATATGTATGCTTAGATACCATGAACCAAAGATATGTCCTTAGTTTTACTGCATTTTCCATCTATGGCGATCTGGTAAAATACATGTACTATAAAATAATATCTGGGTGAATTGCAATAATTCACGAACCTTGCGAGAAGGCTATGGAATGATTCCAGTGACGCCAGAGTGAGGTCACCACGTTTTTCATCCTGGATGAAGATCCCATGATATCCCCATTAACATTCCACCACTGGCCCATTATCCTGGCCCATCTTAGATACCCTTCAAAAAACAAATTCTGGAAGCTGGTGAACGTAGATAATCCCATACCAAAAGACTAGTTAGGATTAAACTTTCCATCCAGTTGATTGACCTAGATATGTCGTTTGTACAATGATTTCCAGTCACCTTCATCTGTACAATACTTTACCGCTGAAATCAGGGTGAATGTGACGGATCCTACCATCCGTCCAGGAAACATCTGAAGTTGCCATGCGCCATATCTCGAATCGGAAATGCGGCCAAGCACATTCAATAAAGATGGATTTTTGGACCATATTCAGGGCTATAAATTGATGTCTTTCACAAAAAACTTCAAAAAACACAGATTTTGGGGATGCTTCCTGGGAACCGAAAAAAAAACGGCGACATCGGGTGCCCAGGCAGAGCCAATTTCGAATTGCCGAGTCAACGCCCATCCTGCCATGAGATCCACAGCGACGGGGGTTTATTTCCTGGAAAATCATGGATCCCAATCTAAAAGGGGGGGTATCCAAAATGGTTGGTTTATAACGGAAAATCCTATTGACTTGAATGATTTAGGGGTACCCCCATTATTTAGGGGTACCCCCATTTAGGAAATACTCAATTATCATGGTCATCCATAAAGAACCAATGGTTCGCGATGTTCGATGTTGTTTTTTTCAATGCGACTTTAAAAAAGACACCACAACGCGTGCGCCCCTGGAAGAATCTGGAAGGCGCCTTGAAACATGATGAGTTGGTTTACTACCCATTTAACTTCAGTGATAACCACCACACACACACACACTGTTTCATTGCTGGGCGTTCCACAAAGGACGCCTTTCTTGTCATCTTCAGGCCGATAATGATCCGCTTGGATGTGCAGCCAGTGAATCACACATATCCAGGTCAGGGTGTGCTCATGGGAACTCTATTCTGAACAGTGATTTCCAGTGATGATTGTTTCATGAATGGTTTCCTTGAAGTTCCAATCATGTACAATTCTTTACTAGAGTCAGAATGGTCAGGATGTACAATCAAACACCTGGGATCTCCATGATTGTTTGCTTTTCCAGGTGCAGCTGAGTCCCCTGGATGAAAAAGGGTTGCAAATCATGATAACAAATAGCTACCAACTAGCAATCTTTATTGCAGTTGTAACTCTCCAGATATGGCAAACATTTTTGCAATTACACCACCATGACACACCGAAAACATATCGATTATGTGCTGGTTAAAACCCTGTTATTGTTGGTTTCAAGAATCATGTTTCATCCCCATTGCTGGTGGCTTTCGCCAGATATCTTCTTGCAATACAGTAAGGATATTGCTGCTTATATACCCAAACAACTCCCAAATTTCAATGTGGTCATCAAAAATTGAATGAGATGACGCACACCATCCATAGCTCTTCTCGTTGGCCGTGACATCCACTGAGACAAGTTCCTCACGGCATGCTGAATGTCAATTCTGTCTTGAGACAGATACAGCAAAGTTCCCATACTGGACCTGAGGCAATTTTTCTCTTCCTCAGGAAGTTCAGGACCATCCAAGCTGTCACGCGTGGGCGGTTGTGAGCCACTTGCTGTAAGCAAGCGACGATGCCTTCCACATCCCGGGCGGCCACCATTCGCTTCAAGCGAAGGGGTCCTCCGCAGGCGCGGCTCAAAAGCGACAGCACAGTTTTTGCTGTGCATCGGACCGGCATTTTCCCAAAATGGCCACCTTCCTGCAGCAAGTCTGCAAACTTTTCTCCAAGATAGGAGCCTGCCACTGCCCCCAGCTTCAAATTGTTGGGCAAAAACAGCGTTCCCAACCAGCGCTTCACTCGATCATCCAAAGCTTAGCGGCTTAGCGCTTCACTCGATCATCCAATTGCCATACCTACCTGTGATGTCTGGCGTTGCTTTCGGGTTTCTGTTCTGCATTTGATGTGCTTTGACAAGCTCTTCTATGTACTTTTCATGAGGAGCAATCACCACACCTGAAGCAGCAAAGAAATACCTACGCTTCAAAAACCGAACAGGCTCATTTGGGCTTTGTCCACTTGAAGGAAGCAAAACCCCTCCTGAAATTGAGAATTTCTTCTGTAGCTCTTCCACCAACCAAGCTGCATCACCACGTTCTCCACATACAACCAAATCATCCACAATCCTGCGGCAGGCTCAGCTTTGCAAGCAACTCGCGCCATCTGTGCATCCGCTTCTCCACAACCGCGATGTGGTTCTGCATTATAGTGAAGTGCTCGGAGTGGCCAGCACCAGCTTTGTCAGGGTGGCTGCAGAGCCTCTTGATCTTCCCAATATATGAGGGTAGCATAGCCTCCTATAATCGCCTTCCAACAATCATTTATCAAATCTATCCCCAATTTTTAGCAGTGAACACCCATATAGATGATGGTACATTCTCCATTACAAAATATGACTCTCAGCAAGACATATCGACTTTCAAGAGACCTGCATCTGCTGTGGCTTGGCAGATCTAACTCATCAATTAAATGTTTTGAGCAAATGCTGGTGAACAATCTAAATCACCAATCTTGCTTGGGTTAAACGACTTTTCAAGTTCATAGAAACAGATACAAATCGTATTATTTGGGTTAAACATGCTCAAAACCACCAATGTGGTGAAATGATAAACCCATCCCCAAAATCATCCCCAAATGGTAGATTTATCATTGGGTTTCCCACATTATCCATAAATCGACCATGAATGAATCATCCACTAATGGTCCATGAGCTGTCCAAAAATTATCCATTAGCCATCCATTTTCATTATTGGGTTTCCGGCATTAATAAATGTTCCCCATGTTTGATCCCCAGTAAACCCATATGAATATTTACCAGTAGTACCGCGCAAGGCGGTGGCGGAAGTTTCAAAAATAGGAAGCCTATAGGAGAGGTTGGCTGCTGCGAATCACGGATGGCAGAGCGAATCCACTGATGGACTGAAAGGTGGTTGGAGTTGTGCTTTTTGAAATGGTTGCAGTGGTCACCTCAACACAACTGCTGGATGTAGTGTGGTGTAGTGGAGCTGTAGTTGTAATGTAGTGTGATTAGTGTAGTGTAGTTGCAGTTGTAGTTGTGGTGTGGTGTAATTAGTGTTGTGTAGTGCGGTGTGCTGACGTGTTGTGTACTGTAGGGTGGTATAGTGTAGTGTAGTCTAGTGTAAAGTAGTGTAGTGCCATGTAGTGGTAGTGGTACTTGTAGTTGCAGTTGCAGTTGTATTGCAATGTAATGTAATGAGTGTAGTGTAGCGTTGTGTAACGTAGTTGCAGTTGTTTGTATTTGTAGTGTATTGCAGTGTAGTTCGTGTAGTGTAGTGTCATCTAGTGTACTTGTAATTGTAGCTGTAGCTGTGGTAGTAGTTGTAATTGTAGTTGTAGCTGTGGTGGTGGTGGGAGTAGTAGTAGTAGTAGTAGTAGTAGTAGTAGTAGTAGTAGTTGTAGTAGTAGTAGTTGTTGTTGTTGGTTGTTGTTGTTGTAGTTGTAGTTGTAGTGTAGTGTAGTAGTACTTGTACTTGCAGCTGTCTATCTATCTATCTGTCTATCTGCAAGCTTGACAACGAAGCTATTCTGCCAGACTTCCTCAATTTTTGAACTTGACAACAGCAAAAACGAAGCAAGTCTTTTGAACTTGATAACGTCAAAAACGAAAAAAATCTGCGATACTTCCTCAAGTTTGAAGTCGGCAGCATCAAAAACCAAACAACTCTGCGAGACTTCCTTCAATAATGGAAAATTGAGTGCAGAGCCGACGGCCTCGTGCCAATGCGTTTTGCGATTTTTCTACTCCATGTCTCTAAGGTATTGCGCCTGCCACGAAAAAGTGAGGCCAGGTCATGCGAAGTGCTGCGCCTGTCACGCAAAATCATCTTCGCAAAGCTGGAGATCTCATGCTCCAACATGCAACCCCTCTCAGGAAATCTCCACCCTGATCTCCTAACACATCTAACTCATGTGTCTCTTGTATTGCGCCTGCCACGCGAAATTCATCTGTCCAGATCCTCTTCAAATGTCCCACGCCTGCCATCGTTTTTGAAACTTCTATAAAAACCCTCACGTTTTGCTCACTTTTGACAAGGTGCAAAATCCTTCTGCCTACCACGCAAAACGACATCTGAACGTCCAAAAGTGCTCCGTACCCCTCATTTTTTGCACTTTTGACTTTGAAATGTGCTTCCCGCCAAAGCGGCGTGCACTTTTTCGACATCACAACTTCTAAAAGTGCTCCGAAGCTGAGGTGCTTTGTACATTTTGACTTCGAAATGTGCTTGGTGCCACAACCGCGTGCAATTTTTCATCTCTCATCTGGCCATGGCTCCGCACCCGCCGCTTTAGCGAGCCTACTTTTCGACCCTAAGGAGCCACAAATTATTGGAAAAACGCAGTGTTTCGCGACTTTCCTACCTTTTCGCGCACCTGCATCTTCTTTCTTCTGACTTTCTCTTCTTTGATCTTCTTTCTTCTTCTCTTCTCTGACTCTTTCCATCTCTGCTTTTCATCTGTCCATATTGTCGGAAGTTTGACTTCTAAACTTCCTTCGATGAAGATTTATCATGATTTATCCCCATGATATTCCCCTGTTGAGTGGTAAAATCACCAAATCCTCCCATCATTTCGGCTTCACATCGAGGTTGCCGAGTTCCCGACGCCCTCAGATGCAAAGGGATCCTGGAAAGCCCAGCGACGTGCTGAGAATCAGCTACCAATGGAGCTGCTCATCCCTGTTTTCATGGATAATTAACATGATTTGTTAAACATGTACAATATTGGAACCTTGGGTAAACTATATATAATGGTCCATCTAGTTTTTTTGGGGGGGTAGATCATGTTAAAGTATCCGTTACATTACATTTGGAGCAACGCATGTGTTTTTTGGCATTAGCAATGGTGCAATGGGACGTCTGGTGGATTCCTGCCAAGTTCTGAATAACAAGGGCATCTCACTTCTCACATTCCGAACAGCAAGGGTTCCGGTGACATAAGTGTCTTGGACTTTTTGCAAGCAAATTGAACACTGGTTGGTGGTATACCTACCCCTCTGAAAAATATGAATGAAAGTCAGTTGGGATGATGACATTCCCAATATATGGAAAATCAAAAAATCATGTTCCAAACCACCAACCAGAACATCACGAACATCTTCCAGCAGGCTTGTGTTGTTTGGTTCTACTGGTGGCTTGAGAGCGGGATTTCCAGTAGTTCATTGGCGAGTTCCATCCCCACGGCTGTGTTCAACATTCCAACAGCCCAGGCTTAGTCATAGTTGATATATCCACCATCAATCCATCAGTTCATTATTGTATTTACAAACCGAGAAAGCCAAATGTTAACCCTAATGAAACCATACTAAACCAACCTAGATCGTTATTCTCATGGTTTATTGCCCCAATTTCCCCTGGCTAAAGCCCACAAAACTCGCTCCTCGAGCGTAGGTAGCCGATGACCACCACATGCGTTCGCACCCGACGCACCTGTCGGAGGTGTCGAAAAGGAGCAAAGAACACGAAGTATACCCTCTGGATCCCTCTGGTAATTTAACATGGCTATTACTTAAAATGGGGATTTTAGATAGTTATGTTAGTTTACCAAAGGATATATGTCGACTTTGGGGTGTCAAAGAACTTGAAAACAGTGTTTCCTACAATGGCTTCATGGAATTGTAAAGCGGGAAATTTGCGAAACTCTTCAATACAATAGATATAATACTATATGTGATTATTGCACAGAAAATAAACTGATAGAAATTGTGGTTGGTCTAATCATGTTTAATCCATCAATTTCTGCGGATAAAAGGCCACATTTTACCACATGGAGGTTTCCAATCCATATGGGTACCCCCAAATCCAAGTCATAGATCATGAATCAATATTGAAACAACCACGGTGACTTGGGAATCCTCCATGACTGAAGAACCCCCTATCCAACATCATCTAATTATGGTTATACCATCAATTCCCATCTAACTACTATGGTTTTACCGTAAATTTCCATTTAGCTGGCTTCTACATATGGTATCGTAGGGTCATGAATCAGATACCCACATTTTTCCCCACCCGGGCGGTGAGGTTGTTGATCTTCCGCAGCAAAGCCGTGTGCGGCAGCGACTCCAACTCCTGATTGTCAGGCAACGGTTCCGACCCCCGGGAGATGGTCCGGAGATGGTCGCAAGGCGAGATGTGGCGAGAGGGCCGCTTTGGTATACCATCTATTATCATTTACCTGTTAAAGGGGTAGTTTCAACCCCCTCTATTAACCAACCAACCAATGGGAAAAGGACATAATAACATGTTAATCGAAGAGTTGGAAAATCATATATGGTTATATGATGACTGGTGTAATCCATTACATACACTATTAGATTAGTACCATTTTTGTGAATGCTATGAGCATGGTGAGTAAAACGGTTTTT